AGATCCTGAGGTTGAAGAGAGGAGGTATGTGGACCCGACCAGCAAGACGATGGGGGGGGGCTGAGTTATACTCAGGGGTGATGGCTTTGTGTGCGCCCAGCACAATCACACCATGCCAATATGGGACTGAGTATATTTATACCCCAAAGTGTATCCTGAAGGTATGCTAAAGTGTGGTGGCTAGTTTCACTATGGATTGATGAGGTTTCCATTATGGGACAATAGGATTGATGGGGTTTCCATTATGGGAAAACAGTGTGATCTGGTATTTCCCTAGTGCCAGACAAAAGGAGGTGATTTTTCTTAATGCGTGGCAGGATGAACCTGAATGGGTGACCATTCACTAGACATGAAGAGTTAATATTTACCTTGATGGGTCTGGCATAGGTGTAAAAATACAGATATTTTAGACAAATAGATGGAGACAGAAATGAGAGGATTATCCAGAAGGTATTTCCTGACATAAGTGGAACAGGATTTGGGGACAGGAAACATACAACATACTCCATTCATGACAATGACACAGACCAGAGGCTCTTTATCTCTGCCTGCCTGTACATTTGACAGGAAAAGACTTTCCATTTGGTCAGGAGGAGACGCCTGAAGGGAGAGCAGAGATTTGCCCATTCTAGTCTTTATGGACTGAGCTTTTAGGAGAGAACTGGGGGGGGGGTTTGCTTGCATGGAGGATGTTGTGACAGTTCAGCTAGCCCTGTGTTCTCAATTGGCCTGCATTTTAAGCCAAAATGAGATTCAATTTTACCAGCAAAAGCCCCTGTTTAAGCCAAGCCTGGCTTTATGAGGGCACTGCTTTTAGAGGTTCAGAGATTGTTTTGGGGTGACCCTCTCTCAGGAAAGACCACCCCTATTGCAGGGCAGGGGCTGCCTGTTACACTGTGCTACACCTAGGTTCTACACAATGCAGCCTATATTATACAGCAATTTTTGTAAACTGTCCAGCATCAGAATACATTGCAACATGCCTGGTGAACTAAGAACATCTTTTCACATACTACATAAAAGACCGGACAGTCAACATCCCCTTATTGCTTGGGAGTAATGTTGCGTGATCAGTGTGTATCGATATACTATGATGCTTTTATCACATACTGTAGAGACCTAGGAAAGAAAAAAACATGGATATTGTCTTCCTAGTTTATATCTGCACTGCTTTTTCCTAACTTCAAATTCAGAAAGAAGGGATACCCCTCAATTTTACCACATAATATATTGTATTTTCAATATTATGTGCATTTTCTTACTAATGATGCTGCAATTCTTGCAAATAAAATGGTTGAAAGCCAAACTTGACCTGCATGCAATGGCTGTTTTCTCTTACATGAAGGACATGTGCTCATATTGATTTGTCACCATTTAAAAATGAACAGCATTCCAACTGTATTTGCATCAGTGCTGTAGAAAGCAACCAGTAGCCATTGTTAGTGCATGCTACAAATTACTAGATGGACTAGTTTCTCAGCCTTCTAATGAATTTGGGAGTCTGTGTCCAACGAAGGGAGCTTTAACTCTCGGAAGCTTATACTCTGGAACTCTTTTTAGTCCCTAATAAGGTGTTACATAGATGGTCGAAATCTAACTGTTCTACTGAAAACCAACACAGCTACCCCCTGAAACTATACTGAAATACACATTACATTTGTCAATCATCTACATGCTTTACATTTAGGGGAAGAATGTGGTCAATATGCATTGGGGATGGAAATGAAATATAACACTGTGGAATCAGTCTTGAAAGACCACCTCAGGAGAAAGCCAAAGCTATTCTGATCTTCTTTCTATTCTGTCACACTAGTAAATACAATGATAACAAAAGTGTGGCTAATACATACCTCCGTAAACTCAAGCCTGACTTTTTCCAAGAATGCCTGAAGTTGTTATCCTGGACCAAACAGGAGATGAGACAAGAACCCCTAAGTACCCAGTCACTTTTTTCTGCTCTATTTTAATTGGACCTGAAGTCATTAACCCCTTAACAGTTTGACACCAGTTAAGGGGTCATCACAGGAGGAAATCGATCATGTAAATACCCCAGAGCCTGGGACTACCCTTGCCTGAGCTTTGATGGACACACCGGGACCCTGAACTCTATTTAGCTTTCAAACATACTGCCAGTATGTATATAAAAACAATTGTCTCCTAAAAATAATAATTCAGATGTATCAATGCATTACCCATATGAATGGTTAATAATTAGCCCCTAGCTTTCAATGCCTCTTTTGTGTTCCAGAAGAATAAGACATAAGGCATTTTTAAAAGGAAGGCTTTCTGGCAAAGGTGAAAGGGTCATAAATTCTTGCATATAGTCAATGACACTATAATGCTATAAAGCATTAATTCTATTGTTACCATTGACTCACATGTGCGTGTTCATTGTCCCTTGAACTAAAAACCAGTTTTGGCATCAGTTTTATTACCTGACACTTTCTGTTAAGAGAATCAAATGTATCCCTCTCAAAGAGGCTTAAAGGATCCAAAGGGAGTGGGAGTGCATGTGGCTTCTTGAAACGTGATCACACTAATATAAGAATGAGCAACCAAGGCCACATAACGAATACACAATGAGAAAGAGGCACAGAGCTAATTCACATTATTTCATGCACACTTGATTAATGTGTCTTGCACAATATGTTCATGAACATGGCATATATCCAAGTACAGTGAGAATACATTGTACCATCTATATTATAACACACTAATGAAACGTTGTGGTGATGACCACACTACTTAGAGTGTTCCCTCTAAGTTGAGTTAGTGTGAGCTGGCTCACAGTTTTTTAGCCTCCAGCTCACACATTTTTGTCTTAGCTCAGGAAGGATGGCTCCAGAGCAAACTAAGTTATGCAGTAGCCAAATCACTCACTCACAACTTTAGTGCCAGTAGCTCACAAAGGAGATTTTTTGCTCACAAGACTCCACATCTTAGGGGGAGCATTGATGACAAGGCCATTTGCAGTGACTGGCTGAGTTGCTATGTCATGGTCACAGAGCAGTGGTAGAAACAAAAGGGTATGTGGCTGCATTCAGCAAAGCTGCCCTGAACATCTGGTTTTTGTTGGCTTTGCTGCTATGACCTACAAAAGACAGGCATAAAATCCAAGGAAGAAACCACGGAAGAAGGAAAAACTTAAAAACAGAGATAGCAGAGGTCTCAGAAGGCAGCAAGTAAAGGGAAGGTGCAGGCCTTGGAAAAGGAGGCCCAGAAGTGATTCGCATGAATTTGGGAAGAAAAAAGGGAGACAGAGACAGGCATTTAAGACAGAAAGCAAAACTAAGAGAAAGAAAAGGTGCATGGGATCAGGAGCTGCAGCAGGAAGAATAACTGTAAATTCACATACTGATTTTAACTATCAAACACTAAGGAGTCTAACGAATTGAAAATGAGAGGGTAAGTGAACATAATTCCTCATCTTCCCAGATGCAAAGACTGCAAGAAGTTCTTAATTTGTGAATCCGCTTTCCCTGTTTAATCTGTTCCATGAAGACTTGGAACCTTGCTTTTAAGGCTCACCAAGAATCCGTGACCTACACAGAAAGGGGAGGTGGGTGCAGTTTATTGAAGTAGTATCATCTCTTATCAACAAATACTCAAGCCAACAGTACTCAAGCTGTCTAAGTACCAGCCACGTTTTGTAATTGTTCCAAGAGCCCAGCAAACTTGAGAGATACCCATTGACTAAAGCCCCCCACCAGTGAACTTTGTATCTGAACAGGGATTTAATCCAGAGCTTCTCGTGCACAAACAGATCACTATAGCCACTGCTAGCAGTTATCTGCCACCACAAGAGAGACTGCTGATTGAGTAATTTGTTCAGAGCCACTGCAGTTGTTCAGAGAAGCAATAACAATTCTTGCTTGGAAAAATTACATCTATGATGTGCAAGGGAGATATGTGAATTGCTCCTTTGCAAGTTTCACTGAAACTATGTGCACTACTCATAGATTTTCTGCTGCCATCTCTTTGAAGGACTGTTCCCATCCTTAGAGTGAAGCAGACTTCCTTCCTTTCAGAATCAATGGAGGCAAACCCCCCCCCCCAAATGACATCTATTACACCACACCTCTTCAAATGCCAACTTGACACAAAAGTTATCATAAAAGTGTTATCTTTTTTAAAAAAAAAATCTGCTATTCTGGCAGTCTCTAACCATTGTCCTGTTATAACTCAAGATCTTAAGAAGAGAATGATTACAGCACATTCAAAATGGATGGTGGTTAATGAAGAACTAAGAAGATACTTCGGTCAAACTTGTGAAAGCCAATCAGGAAGAATCAAGTGACAACAGAAGTCATTGGATTGAAAGAAAATCTTCACTATTGTATTTACTTAATTTTTTAAAAACCCTCTTGCTGTAGGGGTTTTGGCACTGAACATTAGAGGACTGTCTCTCTCTGCAATCATGTCAGTTTCTCAAAGTTTGTTCCCATGGTATACAACCCCTTGGTGATACCACTTTTATAAGTTATTAAATTTATAAATTACTAACTCCATGGTTTCTCTTTTAATTTTTTTACATCAATGAACAACTTTGTAATGCTTCACATACTGAACTCATTACAACTTTGCATTATGCTTACTGATGGGCATACAACTGTCTCCAGGGCTGATGACAATCTTTCCTCGTGTACTTTATCCTTTTGATTTCAATGTGCTAGGCAAGTATTATTCCTATTTTGCAACTACATTGCTTTGACTAAAGAGGCAAGCACTTGAAGATCACACAACGCTGTACTACCATTAGAATCCAACTCAGTACAGATCTACACACGTAACAAAGCAGACTTCGGAGGAAACAGAATTCAAACTGTATGGGGGTTATATTTTCACATGGTCTCCCATTCAAAAAAAAATTCTACAAACAAAAAGACATCAGGGAGAAAAGTCTGACCCTATCCCTCCATATGCTAGGCCAGCCAGCCCTCAGCCGCACCTGCACAGTCAGCCCTCTCCCTTTCCCCTCAGACCATGCCACTGTCGCCACAATGGGCCATCAGAAGCTCTACTGGAACCCCCCCCCCAGGAAGTTCAGGCAGGGGTCACGCTCGTGCCATGTCTGCTCCAATAACCACAGCCTGATCCACAAGTACGGCCTCAACACGTGCCGCTAGTGCTTCCACCAGTATGCCAAGGACATCAGCTTTGTCAAACTGGACTGAGCACCTGACCCACAAAGAGAGGGACCGGTGGATGCCCAGCAGAGAGAGAATGGGAGGAGGCTGCCCAAGACTGGGGAGGTGAGCAGGAGGTCTGGCTTGACACCTCCCCTCCCTCCCCCTGCTGTGTGCATACAATAAAGAGGTTGTAAGCCTTCATAGGCTATCCTAGTTGTCCAACATTTGTGCAGGGAAAAACTAATCTCTCATCTGCAGTCTGAAGATATACAGTCCACTTTTATCACCTCAGTGCTTTACCACCTTGTTCTCCTGAAGACCAAACAGAATATCCCCACAACACTTATCTAGGACCACCATGAAGTAACTGCATGTTCTCTGGACATAACCATGTTCAGTTCTGCTAAAAACATGTAAACAAGGTATCTATTTGGATGTCAGCCACATCCAACACCACAAATATGGCATCACCACTGAAAACATGAGGATTTAAAACTGAACATTACGAACATACAGTCTCTCAGCCCTGAATACCTGCCATGTGTGGCATTTGGGACATATACAAAGCTTTGTTTCAGTGGCACTGTCCAAATCTGAGTGCTTCTCTTAAGAGTAGCGGTCTTACTTTGTGCTGTGTCACATGCTCTTTATTTTTCCCCCTTTTCTCTTAAAAAATGCAGACAGTGGCGTTGCTGTGTTGGACTCTCTCCCCCTTACATTCAGTTGTCTCACATGCTAATACACTGCCATCTTTCAAAGAGAGTACTGTGAAATGGGAAGGCTGTCATACAGAGTGAATGGTACTGCAGGGAAATTGGAGACGTGTAGAGAAAACTAATTAAGTAATTTCTTTCCATTGTTCCTTGTTCTCTGCAAGCCTCCCTCAGACCAAGACTCCAGCGTAGACTTTGATTGACTTAAGCCTGATGTGCACTGCCTTTTGTGCCCATATAACTTCGCTGGTTCGTTTTGCCAAACCTACTTACACCAGCACAAGAAGAGAAGAGACCAAGGGAGACTGAATTTTTTTTTATTTTATTTTCTACACTACTGCTATCCCCATCTTGCCTTCCCATTCTGGGTTATGCTCATTAACACAGATCTAGCCAAAATTTCTTGACATTTACAGATAGCTGTGAGGGGGGGAAAGGGACTCGAGCTCTTCTGTCTTTGGGAATGGATGGAGGGAATATTGTGGAAAGATGTGCCCATCTTCTCTCAGGCCTCTATCTCCTACTTGCTACTTTCATTTCCCCATTCCCTGTGGCTATATGCTCCTCTCCCCTAATATCCTTCACGGCTTTGGAATGGACGATCACAGAAGCTCCTGCCTGGCTTGGTTAGAGAAGATGCAGCCTTGCCAGGTAAAAAAACTGATGGCACAAAGACCACATGAGATGGAGCAAGCTAAAATTTAATTATTTAATGTTGAAATCATTGTAACAATTTAATGAAGCCTCCTTAGTAATTTATCATATATAATTATGCACAAACCTCATTATATTGTACTTAAATATAATGAACATAATCCACTCGTATACAAACATGCAATGTACTTAAGATCTTGGGAACACTAGATTTCATGCAAGATCATTTATTGGAGAATAGCCCTATACATTCAATTTTAATTGTACAGTTAAAGGAAAACATGCTATTCACTCATGAGTCAAAGTATCCCATCTATTTGAATAAAAGTGCTAATCTGTCAAACTTCTCTGTCAATATTTGTTTCAGATTTTGCTTTAATCTTGAATGGTATCTCTATCACTTAACCCTCCTACTCCTTACAGCCTAGACTTCTCCATGCTTGTTATTTCAATTGACGAGCTATTTTTATCTCATTCACAACCGTCAAACTACAGTATTCTTCCCTGATCACATTTTCCATTCATACCAAATCATTTTCTCAAGTACTTTCATCCCACATTTCTAAATCTGGTTGCAATCTCTTGGGTTGTCAAACCATACACACCACTCTATGGTTGCTTTTTCTGGAGTTTTGCAGAATTACTTCCACAAATTATTGATTCTCAGAATGGTGGTGGTGAAGAGAAATAACAGTCACTGCCAAAATGTTTTTACGGTGGTCAGCCTCAAACTACATCTCACTGCCCCTCCTCTGCACTCTCCTTGTCATAGGATCTCTCTTTCCGTACTCCTTATACCAGACATTATATTTTACATGCAATCATCAAAGCCAGATTGAATTTGAAAGCATGGAACAGTTGTTCAGAAAGTCTCGTAAAGTTGCCAACTCCTGACCTGCCTCCACTTTAATACACAATTGGCCATGAGAGACCCAGTAGATATACCATATTATGTCCCCACCCATTGCTTTTCAACCAGGGTCCAGTATTTATCACAACAGTTCAGTGATGGGAGAAGCTGCAGTTCTTCAGCTTCTCCTTCCGTGCTGCTATATTTAAAAAAAAAAAAAAACCAAAGCACTGTTGAAGGCCAAGTGCCACCACCCTGAATGGCTCAGACTTTCTCAAAGTTGACATTAATCTTCTGTCGCCCATCTTATCTGTGCAACAAGAAAAAACAGGCCACTGGCGAGAACTAGTGGCCTTGAGCTCAGTCTCTCTTTCCTTCAATATGCAGCAATCAAAACTCATAATACACTCCCCAACTAGATTTCTGTCTCCAGTATACAGCCTCAACCTAGAGCTGGTGGATTTTTATTATTATTCGCTCTCCTTTTCTCTCCCCCCCCCCATTCTATTTCACCATCCCACTGCAGTATTAAATTTCCAAACAGCTTTCGCTGTCACTGCCTACAAGTACCAAAATGTTTTATTAAGTCTTTGCAGAGAGCATATGCTGGCCTTGTTGTATTTTGATTTGTTGATTCCGGGTTCAAACTCTGAAAAGGCAAGGGGAAACAGGTCCCTGTGCTTTCAGAAGTGCTTTTCCAAGACAGTAAATCTGCATCCCTGGGCTAAGGATACAATTGAAACATGGTTGATGGATTAACCACAGCATTACCATACGTTTTATTTACTGTTCCTCTCCTACTGATGCAAAAGGCCTGGAGTGAGTTTGTGGCTACTAATCACTCTAGTTAGCCTTCTATTTTCTTTTGATACCATCCTATACAAAGAAAGGAGGGGGGATTGAAAACCAAGATAAAGACAATTGAGATTTAGGGAGTCAGGCATGGGGGTGGTTCAAAATTTCTCATCTATTTCAAACGTTTACACTCTGCTCATGGTATATAATAGGTCACATGTTGCAGGCTTACCTATGGGGGGGGTGGATGTTCAAGCATTGTAGCAAAGGACTTCAACATCAGTGCATTACAATTTTAAGAAACCAGAACATACACAGCGTGAACAGCTACAGAAAATGCTCCTTGACCAATCATACTACCCCAACAAGGCAAATGTGGGAAGTGGGTGGAGAGGAAAATGCAGCAAATGAATAAATGCAACTGCCAAATTTTGACACTTCCTCAATCTCTGAACATGTGATTAGATGCTTCGGCAGGGAGGGCGAGGTATAAATCCAATAAATAAATAAACTGGACTGAATGGAGAAACCCTATGTGCATTATTTAGTGACTGCCTTTTGCTATCTTTTGGAGAGAACATAGCTACGAATGTGTCTCATAGGCAAAAACAAATTTGGGGAAACTGGATTATGAAGCCAAGAATCTTAAACAGTTTTGTATTCAGATTACGGAATTCTTTTTTATGGCACTGACATTGACAATAATGATCTCAGCACAATAGGCCCAGGGTAAAGAAATCTGACTAGTCTGGGCCAACTTGCCTAGTCCTTTGATGTAAGGTGAGAGGAAGAAAACCAACTTCAGCAGAAGTGGCCTCAAAGGGGAAGAAATCCCCCTGAAATGAAAACTTCTCTTCTAGAACTTATTGTGCCCATTGATTTCAATGTGTAGTGTACAGATCCACAGAAACATGAGGACTTGAAGTATGTACATGAAGTATAAGGTATTTTCATGCATTTGTCACATTGACATGACCACTCTAAAGCAGAACCACCACTACTCTAACAGCATTTGGCTTCTGAGGTAAAAGAAATTATTTAGGAGAGGGGCTGTGGTTTAGCAGTAGATCACATCCTTTGCATACAGAAGTGCAAGATTTAATCCCCAACAGCTCTGCAGCCAATGTTTGGGAACAGCTTTCTCTGACTGAGAACCAAGTACATCTAGACAACGCCAAACTAGTCTGACATGGTAGAAGGGCAGCTTCATTTCTCCAAATTTATGGTCTCAATGCAAAAAAAAAAATGGTACGTAAGAACCTTGGAATCCATTATTATTTAAAAAAAACTATCAGACATTACTGGTTACTTCAGAACCTGAGAAGACAGTTCATTTAGATAGGCTAAGCTCCTATGCACCGTTTCCTGTGCTTTTAAGATACGTGAAGGGAATTAGGCAAAAGAATGCTTGAAGTCAAATACAGTGCTGACAACAGACCTAAATTGTGCATGTTAGTATTTACATCAGACTATTTGCACCTTACCAAGATGAACTTTATTTGCTACTTTCTGCCCATTTCCTAAAATCTTTTTTGATATAGGAAAATGCCTAAGGACACAGTTTTGTTTTGTTTTTTCACCACAGACAATTTAAGCCCAATGTCCAAAGCAGTCCAGTCTCTTAACATACTTGGACTATCAATACAAATGAATAATCAAGTTGCAGGAAAAGATGTTCTACAATATTTTAAACTAGTAGCAAATCCCGTTGTAAAATCAATACAACGAACTCTAGCAAGATGTGACATGTCAGGCTGCACACTGTCCCCCCCCCCCCCGGAAGTCATTTTCTCCCACCATCCCCAGACCCCGGTATGACCACAATGATCTCTTCGCGCTTGTCCATCCCTCTCAAAGTTCCCTCCCTGAAATCTCCTGGAATACCCCCCCTAGAGTTGTCAAGTCTATCTCTTCCCCAGGCAAGCAGCAAGGTAGCACATGTGTATCCCCCTGAGTGTGCAGGTCTAACCCCCCCCCCCAGGCCTTACAGCTTGGCTACGGGGGATGACAGAAAGAAGGATCCAGGGGTTGGG